TGCATGCTGGGACTTGTAGTTCACATCCACGGACGTGGCTTTTGGTTCCAAGGATTCCGAGGAGCCTGAGCCTAACGTCAAACGCAACCTGGGGGAATTAAGCCCCAAGCCGACAAGGTGTCAGCGTTGTGCTCATTAAAAAAAAAAAAAAAGTGCTCAGTGCACTTGTTTTTTCTTGAGTTTTACCCTGAAGTTGATTGGCAGTGACTAAGTCAGACTGTGGCTAATTTTGCGCCTGCAAAGTGAGCTCTGAATTTTAGATTCTTTTCTGGCGTATCTTAGGACAACTATAAGTCCTGGGGCTTTGCTCTGGCGGACTTTTAAGGGGACTGCGCATGCGCCAGCTTCCTCTCTCTGATTTCCGACTGGAACCATGGAGGCTGTGCCGTAAGTAGAGTCTTCAGTTCTCCAGAATCCTCCTCCATCCCCGAAACTGGAGGCATTTTGCTCCCCTTTTCCAGTGTCTGATTGTAGCCAGCACCACTATCTACCCATCTGAGTGTTTGTGACGCTGTGTGACACTGGGAAGGGAGTGCGGATGGCCTAGGCGCCGAGGCCCGGAAACCCCAGGAGCAAACGGGGCAGAATGCGTGCGGAACCCGCCACTTGGGCGGAGGACCATTTTACTGTGGAATGTTTATTTCCAAGGATCCTGGAATTAAGTTCCTTCTTGGCTAAAGTTGGCTTAGGCATCTGCCGACCGGCCGATACCTCCAACATGTGGGACACTGGTACTTGAACCGGGAGAGCTTTTAGAATGCTGGACCTTTGCCCAAAAGTCCATGTGTTTCTATGGTTTGTCGACTTGTGACTTCTCTAGTAGAGGCCGGGACTGATGATCGGGGATAGGCGTTAGTCTTTTAGTGTCATGTGTTTGCATTAAGTAAGGCATGTAGTAAAAGGTGAAGATACGGGCAAGGAGGAAGTCTTAAGCTCTGCATCTTAAAGCAGAACATGCTAGAACAACAGAGATGCCAGTGGCTGGAGTGGGTGACAGCATAGTGCTGAGTACCCGATGAGTTTGATACACCACCAGGAGGCTTTTGACTTAGTAACGATATTGTTTGCTAATGATAGGGAGAAGAAAAAGAAGGTTCCTGCTGTGCCAGAAACCCTTAAGAAAAAGCGAAGGAATTTCGCAGAGTTGAAGGTGAAGCGCTTTCGGAAGAACTTTGCTTTGAAGACAGTAAGTAAACTTGGGGGTCCCTTGGTTGGTACTGGGAATGGAGTAAGATGTTAGTAAGATTTAGCTGCTTCGTTGTTGTTGTTGTAACAAACAATTGCTGAAGAGCTTCTGTTGGGTCAGTCTCGAATATTAAGAAGTTGCTCCAAACTGTGTCAAGACAGTTTTCTAGAACTGATACTGCTGTTTGAGTTTGGGAACTAAATTGTGAATGACTGATTTTCAGCTGCGGAAGGCGCGGAGGAAGCTCATTTATGAAAAGGCAAAGCATTACCACAAGGAATACAGGCAGATGTACCGGACAGAGATTCGCATGGCTAGGATGGCAAGGAAAGCTGGAAACTTCTATGTGCCTGCAGAACCCAAACTGGCATTTGTCATCCGAATCCGAGGGTAAGTTCACTTTGAATCGCATTCTGGGAGTGCTAAGGCATTGACAGGATTGTAGGTGTAGTAGAGAAGGAGGAACGGGTTTTTGAGGGTGTATTTGTAGGGCCTGTGTTAAGTTCTGGGTTCTGCCTGCAGTTGTCTTAAGAACTTACAATGTAAGCTGGGCGTTGTTGTTTCACGCCTTTAATCCCAGCACTCGGGAGGCAGTTCGAGGCTAGCCTGGTCTCCAGATCGAGTGCCAGGATAGGCTCCAAAGCTACACAGAGGAACCCTGTCTCGAAAAACCAAAAAAAAAAAAAAAGAAGAATTTACAATGTACTCTAGTATTGCAGCAAACACATCTACAAAGGTAGGTGTTCGTCTTTACTGCAAACAGTTATGAGGATAAAAGATAAAGGTGGCGTAGACCTCTATGAGTTCGAGACTAACCTGGTCTACAAGAGCTAATTCCAGGACAGCCTCCAAAGCACAAACAAAAGATAAAGGAGGCAAATCTATTGGGACTTGCGTGTAGTCTGTTTTTGTTTGAAATTATGGTAGAAGCTTGGATAATTTTTGGTCTCTTTCTGTGGCAGTATCAATGGTGTAAGCCCAAAGGTCCGCAAGGTGTTGCAGCTGCTCCGTCTTCGTCAGATCTTCAATGGCACCTTTGTTAAGCTCAACAAGGCTTCAATTAACAT